ATACAGAGAGACAATATTTTTTACATCTAATTGTAGCAAGTGCTTGTCCAGGTCTTCATTACAATTCATGGAATTGCAATGAAGATAATTTTGACAAAAACGTTTTTTAAATGCCCTTTCGAATTGTACAGGTGTTGGATTAATTAAATTCCCACCCTGTTGCCTAATGGACCCAACAAATTTTTCTAGACAGTCACTGTTGATTCTTCTAGCCATTAAATATTTAAATCCCGCAGCAGATAACCATTCCCATACAAATTTTAAACCATAAAATCGTTAAATATAAACATCTAATTTTTATGATGTGACGTTAATAGTATTTAATTATATACATAGGTAATATAAGCAATTGGGCAGCATTTTGCTTAACGGGTGACTTACAACAGGCATTTGCTAAAACTCATCTGAAGTCAAAAATTTGTACGTAGGAACAAAAATTGAAATAAAATAATTCTTGTATTGTAAATTCATTAAAAACTTACTAATTTGTAATTGTGTGTTTTAATAAATATTATTGTTATATGTTGTTTCACTTCTAAAAAGATACCTACATAACCTCATTTTAAATAAAAAAATAAGGTGCTGAGTTAATTTATTAGTTCCAGGAAGAAACCAAAAACTGTTTGACACATTTCATACAATGAATGGCATACAAAAGTAATTTATTTTATTCTAATGATAAAATTTTAAAATTGGCACATCTATATTTTCACCGGAACTCATTTATTTAAGTTACACAATATTTTGATTAATTTATTTGCCTAGAATACATTAAAATGTTATATGTACATGTTTTAATTTTTTTCTAATTGTACATCGCGCTAATTTGCAATTTTAGAGTTTACTTTTCTCCGTGTAGAAATAAGCGACAAAAACGTCAACTGTCATTGAAAATCTGACCACCCCGACATCAAAGAAGCCGACGCAATCTGTCGCTACTGTATTGTTCTTTATACTGGGGTATTACCATGAATATATTTATTTATAACAAATAAGAAAAAGCAATTGGCAACATCGCTAAAATCACGCACAGGCACTTTTAGTGTAAATGTCAAATCGAAAAAATTAAAAACAATATGGCTACGTGAGAATATAGTGAATAAATGCATATTCTTAATTTTTTAGCTTACAAATGTGTTTTAATAATATTTGTTACTTTAATTAGGTTAGTGCACACTTATAGAAGATTAAAAAATGTAAAAATATTATGGTTTTACTTAATCTTTATGGAAAAAGTGACAAAATTACTGGACCTAATATCGACCGTAGCCGAAAGCTGGAAAAGCAATTTTGAAATGGTTAATATAAGTGTAACTAATAATATCTACACTATAGCTAGAACGTAGAAGAGTACTGGAGGAAATGTTATTTATTATAACCACAATTTAACAAAAAAACAGATAAGATGAATAATTTTCAGTTGTTTAAAACATTTAATGCAAATTTAACAGGTAAAAGCAATGCTCAGAACTATGAAGTCCTTTGTTGAAAAGTCATGGAAGTTTTGTAAATTAGATGTTATTGCTTGTTGTTGCACAAGTCATATAAAGCTAAGAGATGATGAGAATAAGCAGTATATGTACCCTTTCAAAATATACATTATGGTCACAATCTAGATTTGCAACACTTGAGAATTTCAAAAGTGAATAAAGGGTCTACTACCTAATAGCTTCAAAATTATTTGCATTGTGGGTGTATACAAAATCAGGTAAACTAATATTGGGTTTTATTGTAATAACATATATTTTTTTAATAATTTGACTATATTATTATTATACATAATATATATTTTCAATAAAAATCTTTGTTTTTATTGGTTATATAGGTAATTTTATTAGGTATAGTCACAAGTTTAAAATTAACATTCCAAATATGATTATGGCTTATATCGAAACATTTGTAGTGCGTAATTACATAAATATACCTAATGAAATTATATGACTGATAAAATTAATGGAAGTTTTTTAATGAAAATGTATAGTTTTATAACTATTAGTCTGTCTCTAGGAACCATTTTTTATGAAAAACGTTTCAGTCTAGGTACTTTTGGAAAGTTAAAAGAGATTAATATCTTTACTAAAAACAAAAGGTATTGACAAAATGATCTCATCTTATTTGGGTTAATGGATATATTATTTTGATAACATATATTTTTGTTAATTTATTAAATAGTAAAAAAAACAAATCAAAAAATTGTTATTTGTTAAAGTAAATCAGACATTTGTTAAATTACAGAAATATGATTGTCTTCAAGAACAGCAGCAATAAAGCTCCCAATAAAAATATTGTTCCCCGTTTCAAAAATGGTCAATCATTTTTGCGATATTGTCTATCTGCATCCACGATAACTCAAAAATTGATAAAGATAATAACATCAAATTCTAAACTTAAGGTTTTTTTATTCTGAAATGAGCTGATTAGATTTTCCACATAGAGCATCTGAAGGGTACTTTATGGGGGTTGTTTTCTACTGTTAGGTTTATTTTTGTTCAGATTGCAGAAGAAATAAATTCTTGGTATAACAGTTGTAATTACAGGCAATTTCAGGGTGGAACAATAGGATCTATGTGCTGTTTTTAGTGACATGTGCTCTAAACAAAGCAAGCTGTGAGCCTCACACTAGATGCCAACCATAAGGGGAAGGTGTTCATGAGAAAAATTTCCACCACAGTAATAAAAAAGAAAAAAACGATTTTTTAAAAATCTGCACGCCTATGTATTATGTAATAAGGTGGTAATAGTAGAAGTTTTAAAGTCCACAGAATCCTGATCTATATTATAGTAAATATTGGATTTGCAATTAGTATATAAATGTAGAAGTTCATTAGCTGTGATTATATTTTGAATTATTTTGTCCTATATTTGTAATTATAATTAGCCATTGTTTTGACATCAATCGTAGGCATATATAGGTGGAATAGATATACTTACCTATTATGAACAACTTATTTTTCATTTTATTTCAATAATACACTACTTTATTTATGTTTTTTTAATATTATTTTTATTTTCAGTAATTATATTATTATTTTTATATATGATATAGATATATAAGATTATAAACTTCTTAAAAATATAGGTACATAAGGTACACCATATTTTTGTGTTTTATTTATTTTCCTAAACAAAACGTTATGATCAAATATGAAAGAAACATTAAGTTTATCTGTAAAAATATTAAATTAAAATCACATTATTCGTTTTATTAAGAAAAAATTCGAAATACCAGTTATTTATATTAAAAACATTTTAATCACTTATTTTGAATATTCTATTTACTGCATTCATAATTTTTAAAACGCCCTCCATTATTTAAATACATTAAAAAACTATTTAAACACCTATTTTTAATATCCTTACTTACTGTATTAACAGTTTTTAAAAGTCCCTTCATTTTTGTATCTGACAATTATTGAAATACGTAAAAAGATTCCTTTTACATGTTTTTAAACTTTGCCGCGTATATTTACATCATTCTTATGACAATTTAGCGAGCATGCGCATTATATGGAGCCACCAGTGGCATTTAGCATATGGTCTGTGTTTAGCATCACAATATTTTAGCATCTCGTGTATTGTCAACTTGGTCTTGTTCAATTGTTTTAAATGTTCAATTTGTTTACTTGATCTTGCTGACGATTGAGCTTATTTTAAATTTTTGTGGTCATTTTTAGTTATAAAAGCTGTAATATATCGTATTGTTGTATGCCAAATTGTTTTGTAAACACTCTAAAATCCTAATAACGATTTATTTCAAATTTGAGTATTGGGTGTTCCCAGTCCATTTTTGTTCCCAGTCCATTTTTCAAGAATAAAACAACAAATTTGTAAAAACTATTTAGTATGTGATAAACATGTTGAAGATATGTTTAAAGTTCTTGGTGCACGCAGCGATCTAACTGTATTTTTATTTGTTCTAGTACAAACTTTTTCAAGCCATTTGGAGTGGCAGTAGTATTGCATCGTTGAAGATAAAAACAGCCTAGTCAGGGAAGTAATAGTCACTGTACTTTTTGTATTCATGCCTCACATTTGATTTTTATATTGATTTAGTTCAGATTGTTACTTTTACTGTTTTTTTATTTGTTCTAGTACAAACCTTCTTCAAGCCGTTTGGAATGGCAATATTGGATTGTGGAAGACAAAATAGCCTAGTCCGGGAAGTAATGGTCAGTACACCTTCTTTTTATTTATGCCTCACTTTCTGTGCTCCCCAACAGATTTGAAGGGTTCAGGAAAAAAAGGGGCCTAGTCACAATTACCAAAATGTTCAGAAAACCAAATTTAATTTAGACTGACTAAATACAAACTTTTGATACTTTAAGGTAATTGATTACAAAAAGACGTTACTTTGTTTAAATGTTGCCTGATTATATTGTAGTTTACCACTTAATTTACCAGACAGTTGTAATTTTTTATTCTAAATACTGAAAATGACAAACAAACAGTAGGAAAGTCCTTGGACATAATTTTAAATGCACTGTTTTGCATTTGCTAATACTGGTATTTTACAAAATAGGGCGGACCAGTTAAATTTTGATAAAAATGTGGCTTAGCTGCTTTTTTCTTCCTGTACCCTTCTTGATTTATAAGTTGATTAATATTTATTTTTTGTTTTAGATAAAACTCTTCAACCTCTGTGGACAATGACTTAACTTTCCAGCTAATTAACACGCTACATTTAATTATTCTATTTTGTATGTTTTTTTTGTTTTAATAAATTAATTTTGTTGATCATGCTTTTTAATTTTTTGTAAAAATATTTCAACTTGTAGTCAAGTTAGGATTGGTTCATACTACTCATTTTTTGCATTATTGTAACAAATATAATTTTATTGCTACAATAAACGTAAAAAAGGAGTTGGTATGAACAAATCTTAATTTGACTACCACTTTTAAACTAAATATTGAAGGACCATTTTGAATGTTCCCGCGTTTTGTGTTAACTAAAATGACCGCGAGATGGCGCCACTTCCGCCAAATAGTTCAAAGAACGCTCACCGGGTGTTACAAAACTGTCTCAAATTTTAACATTGCAGTTTCCATTCTAAAAGTAATTGTTCTGTGATGCAAGGTGTTGAGAGTTAATTATCAGCATATGTTTTCACCGATTTTGCATCACAATTAAAAGTTCAAACGAAATATTTCGATAAAAATGAGTTACGTTGGCCGAGTAATCGTCTACGGAGGCAGAGGAGCCCTGGGAGCGAAGTGCGTTTCGCATTTCAAAGCAAACAATTACTGGGTGGCCTGCATAGATCTAACAGAAAACACAGAAGCCGATTTCAATTTGATTGTTAACAAGGAAGAAAGTTTTCAAGATCAGGAAAAATCAATTCTTTCTCGTCTCGATTCAACATTAAGTGGTTCAAAACTGGATGGAATTTTTTGTGTCGCAGGTGGCTGGGCGGGAGGTAATGCTGCCAAAGATTTAACTAAAAACTCAGAGCTCATGTGGCAGCAAAGTGTATGCAGTTCCTTGATTACTGCGTCTCTGGCTTCGAAGCATTTAAAAGAAGGTGGAATAGTTCAGTTGACTGGGGCCAAAGCTGCTTTGGAAGCAACTCCAGGTATGTATCGTTTTTGTAGGCATGATATGATTTACTGATAATAAATATACTTAGGTATGATTGGATATGGTATGGCAAAAGCTGCAGTTCACCATTTGACAAAATCTCTTGCTGAAAATGGCAGCGGTCTTCCTGATGGTTCCACTACTGTCGCTATACTTCCAGTTACTTTAGATACACCAATGAATAGAAAATGGATGCCAAAAGCTGATTTCTCTACCTGGACTCCATTGGAATTTGTGGCAGATCTGTTTGTGAGATGGGCATCAGGAAAAGATAGACCAAAAAGTGGTAGTTTATTACAGGTCGTTACCAAGAATCATCAAACTGATGTTATTCCAGCTTAAACTCTTAAAGATTATACATGATTTTTAAACTATTATTTTACTTTTATTAATTCTTAAGATTAAAAAATCAATGTATGTAAAAGTAAAATATAAGTGTATTAATCCCTAATCTGGATAAAAATTTAAAAAATTGACCAATGCTCTCTAATGCACAATAATTTTTTTTTGTATAGTAAATAATTTTTATTACACTGATTCATTTGTAATAAGCACTTTTAATAGTAAATATTTTAGAAATCGTTTACAATTTGTTATATTTCAATCTATTGAAACATATTTTTGTTACGAATTTTATATTTTTTTATGTGATTCTATTTTTTTATAAACATATTTACAAATAAAGATATTGAATGATATTCTGTGGTTTTATTTCAAGGATCCTTGAGGTTTTTCTTAACTAATGACTAATGTGGTTTTTTTGTGATAAAAATAGTTCTGGAAATTGTTTTTTGAAATTACCAAAGCTATGAATACGAATAAAAAAATTAAAGAGGGTTTTTATTTATCTATGGTTTGGGACTTGAGAAATCATATCCAGCCACTGAACCAAAGATTAGCTGACCCCTGCCTTGAACTTGGTGATTGCTTTCATATCACAGATATTTCAATATAAGTATTCAGCATGGAGAAAAGATTATTAGTATTAGGCATTCCAACGACCTGTCAAACAATAGGTGCCAGTGGGAAATTATTGTATATTTAAGGGGGTAGCGACATAGTCTTGCAACTTGGACGCTATTTTTATTCGAAGTAGTACTCGCCAAGCCTGCCAATTTATGAAGAAATGTATAGGTGGGTTTTTTAAATATTATTTTTATTGTGTTTGACATCAAATATTTAAATGTTATCCATTATTCATGATTTTACGTAAAGTAGATAGAATACACCATATGTCGCCACCCTCAGATATACCAAACCTGCCCACTGGTAATTCATTTGTTTGGAATGCCTAATTCAGATTCAACATGAAAAGAAGAGCACTACTGTCAATGTCAAAATTTGACAGTCTGTCATCTCATAACCTTTTTGTGGTGATGTTTGTTTTGTAAATACAATAAAAGATATCTAATGGCGTCAACACAAAGGGCGTTTGCACAAAAACTATCAAAGTACACACTTTAAAATCTACAATATACAAATAAATATACTATATTTTTTTTAGACAACATGCTGCCGACGTACGCCGAAACGTATCATGCACAAAAACTGGAATGGTATCTCCTTCTTCATCTGTATACTTTTATTTCGTCTTACTTAGCACAGTTTTAATGTATATTTCCGTAGGGATGGATAAATGAAGTTGTAGAGCCACTAGAATTCGAAGATTTCTTACAAAGTTATCAAAACTTAATCGATAGAGATCCGTTAAGGTGTATTTTAGACATTCCACAAGGAGATGTTGAGGTTGAGATAATAGATAGGCCCATAAGAACCATACGCCCTATTTTACCAGAAGAGAAAATGTAATAATAATAAAAAATAGTTAATAATTTTTACCTTTACCTTAATATTTTAGAGATTCTTTACCACCACATGTGCAGACTTGTATTGAATGCTACAAATCTTGTTGGAAAGTTATTCGATATAATAACAGGTCTTATAGCAGTAGTGTTTCTAGTAGATCAAATCTTTGTAAAGAATTGCCACCTACTCCTAAGCAGGAGTTTGAAGTCGATTTTCAGGCACCTCCATCTGAATCTAGTAGTGAGCTAGGTATATCAAATAAGTTGGTCATTATCTTGTTTCATCTCATTCTTTTATGAAAAAACTAAGAATACATACTTGTAGGTATCACTATTGTAAACAAAAAACTAAATGCCATACCTTGTGCAAATTAATAATGATTTTTTTAAATAAAAACATTAAATCTCAGATGCTACTACTCTTAGTTCTTACATTGTTGGCTAATCCTATTATTGTCAAAAATCGTACAGCATCTCATTTCTAATAATTTTCCTAGCTTTAACAATATTTTATATTATAACTATTGACATTGTTTTACTCACGAAAGCACTCCTCTGTTATCAACTCATCAGCCTTATTAGCAGTAATTTATTTCTGTTGATATGGAATTCTGATTACAAATCGCAGTGCATTACCATTGCGATGATGGTGAGTGAGGTTTTCCACACCTGTAAGTCAAATAGCATCATCAATGATCTGTAATTCACCACTAAATAATAATAGCCATTCTTACACATGCTCAGTTGGCTTCAAGGGTTACAATTCACTCATAAGAGGGTGTCTCCAGATGCCCCATTTTTGGAAGTGGCCATTTGGTAGGCTTCTACCACTCCGATGGTAACTGCCTGGGTTTAACCTGTTCCATAGAGCACTCCTCCATTTCTCAAAAATTGTTAATATTAACTGAAACAATGGCAAATTTTTATTAAAAAAATAAATAAATCTGACTTTATTATTCATTTGCACAAGATATGCAACTTACATTTTTTGTTTACGATAGCAATACCTAAAAATACATATGTTTAGTTTTTTATAATTACAAAAGTTTAAACTAGATATTTACCTATTATTTATCTTATCACTGTTTATTGATATTGTTTTTTAAACCTTCTAGATTTAGCTTCACATAGTAGCGGTAGGCAAAGCGTAATATCTATAGCTTCCGTGTCGTCTTGTGGAGATACACTTACTCCTCGCAATTCTTGGGCCTCTTTAGATTTGAGACACTCAGCTGGAGATCCTCTAATACCGGAAATCTTAGAGCATTCCGTCCCAGAGGCCTTAGATCAGTTAAACGAGAGCAGAAGGCAGATAGAAAGGCAAGATGCTCTATTTACTCTCACAGCTGAAGGCCAAAATGAGAATGATACTGTTGAAAAAAGACTACCAGCCATTGCTCCTTATGAACATGTGGGCCACAGAGTGTTGGTAAAGTGCCTGCAACTTGTGTAAGTACAATCCTATTTATTTCTATAATTAAAGACTTAAATAATTATGTATAATATAATTTTAGAATGGAAATAGAAGTAGAACCATTATTCGCCTCTATGGCTTTATATGACTGTAAAGAACGCAAAAAAGTATCTGAGACGTTTTATTTTGATTTGAACCCAGAGGGTTTGAAACGAATGTTAGGTGGACATGTGCCTTATGCTGATACGAGTTCTTTAGCTAGGGGATGTATTTTTAACATAACTCACCCTTCTCCTGATCTCTTTATCGTGATAAGATTAGAAAAAGTCTTGCAAGGCGAAATTGGCGAATGTGTCGAGCCGTATTTAAAAGAGGACAAGGTAATTTTTGATTTAATGTACTTGTCTGTCATTGAAATTTGTCTTTTTTTTTTAATTTAGAATAGAGATAAGTTGAAATCTATTGCTGTGTCTGTGTGTGAGAGATTGGGAAAGTATAGACAAGCATTTGCTTGGACTGCTATAAATTTGGTGAATGTTATTAATGGAGGAAATTCTCTAGAAAGGGACTCTGATAAAGATTCCATGGGAGGTGGGTCAAATACCAACAGTTTAGGTAATTATTATTCATTTTACATCTTTCTTCTGTTACCATACATTCAATTTCTAGACCGAAAATCATCAGCTAGTGGTCTAGAACATCTAAGACGGCGAGCTACTGATATGGGTACTTTAACGCGCCGAGGATCTTTAGAAAGACAGAATAAAAGAAGATCGTGGTCACCGGATCATCTTGCTAATAACATAGATACGTTCAGACCCATAACTCTAACCATGTCGTCTTTCTTTAAACAAGAAAGTGATAAATTAAAAGACGACGATTTGTACAAGAGTTTGCAAGAGTTAAAAAGACCCACGTTGGTTTTGAAAAAATTGAAATGCATACCAGCAACATTAAAATTGGAAATATCTCCTTGTCCACCGGAAGTAAGGTAAGTGAAATCTTTTTTAGAATTATTGATTTGTTTTCTATCTGGTACAGATTTTTTAAAAGATGTGTTCGTTGATAAGACTTATCTCAAATGTGCAACTTATTGACATACAATTATGAGTTATTAACTCTGAAACCAAATACCTTTATTGATTGTTTTTTATTTAAATATGATTAAAAATTTCGATGTGTTGTAGCTAATTGCATTTTTTTTTAAATGTCTATTACAGAAATTGTTTGACTCCTGAATTGGTGAAATTGCGCCCATTTCCAGACGAAAAAAGCCGGCCGATGAAAGAACTTTTAGAATTTCCAATCAAAGAAATATTAGTCCCGCATTACAACTACAGAAACCTTCTGTATGTATCTCCAAAGGAACTGAACTTTTCGAACAGAACCGGTTCCGCTAGGAACCTAGCGGTTCGACTACAACTCATGGCGGGCGAGGAAGAAAAGAACGCTCTGTATAACATTTTCGGGAAGTCCAGCTGCCCGGAAATGTTAAACGAGGCTTATTCGGGGGTTACGTATCATTGCAAGAATCCGGCGTTTTACGATGAGATCAAAATCAAGTTACCAGCCGCTTTGGCCGATAATCATCACTTGCTGTTCACGTTCTACCATATTTCCTGTCAGAAAAAGATGGAACAGAACACTGTTGACAGTCCTGTGGGTTACACGGTGAGTTTCGTTTGTTTTTATTTCCACATTGTTTAATTGATTTTTTATGAGGGGGTCCATATTTTTCTGCACATGTCCGTAAATATTCAGCAAATACATCAAATCAGCATGTGTTGTCAATCGATTAATGGTAGTTTATTTTTTTGATTATTTAATTGATTCTAGTGCATATTTGAGGACATTTTAATAATATTTAGACTTATTTTTATTTAGTGTGTGATACTTTTGTCAAATAGACAAAGGCACATTATTTTTCCGTCACTTTTCTCAGTGTAGAAATAAGCACCAAAAAACGGCAAATGTCGATAAAAATCTGACCACTCTGACATCAAAGGAACTGACCCAAGCTGTCGCTATATTATTACTTTCTTATACTGGGGTTATGAAGAATAGATAAAAGGAGGCGAATCGGCAATGATCAAATTTTAAATGTCTGTCCTTCTTTTTATAAAGTTCGCTAAATTGACTTTAGCTGGCAGGTCGAACGTCACTGACGTTCATTTTCTATATAAGTCAATGTAAAATGAAGTGATTTTTTAACAAATTGGTGAAAAGAATCAAAATAATGTGAAAAAATGTACCTGAAATAACATGAGTGACAAAAAACATTAAAGCAATATTTACCTCGTTCCACATTGTAAAACAGGATACAAATCACATGTAAAACTAAAGAAAACACAAGAGAAATCAATTCAATGTCTTTTTAAAGCTTCTAATGTAAGTAAAATAATGTATTCATATCTAAATATAATATTTATTGTAAACTAGTCACAACACGTACCACGGAGTGAAGTTTATTTTAATTCAAGTTTCTGTAAAAGAAAATTTTACAGTCATAGATCCTGATTATACAATCAATTTAACTTACTAGAAAAGAAAATTTGTTTTTTATAGAGTTTTAATGTTAGATAAAGAGTTGCTATTGTTATTTTTTTGTTGAACCCCAATTTTGTCATTGTAAATGTTTTTTATAGGATCATAAACGCTTAGAACAGTGGCAGCATATATATCGTACCTAGGGACGATAAAGCACTTTCTAGAGATGATGCTTGTTCTACACTTTTTAGAAGATATTTTCAAATATTTTGAAACTCTTTTTAATGATGGTACTGTTAGCAAAATAAAAAGGGGAAAAGCCGAAATTAAAGGATGTGACAATATCATATACATTCCCAAATCTCCCTTTATGTTTGCATTATAATAATAAAAAATCTGTTAACTGTGTTTTTGTTCTTAACTACTATAGTCAATTTTAAGCGAATAACCAAAAGCATTTGGTATTTACCATTTGAGATTGGTAATTACTATAACATTCGAGTGGCTTCGGTTATTAATTTGGTAATATATCCGTGACGTCATAAATCAGCTGTTTTCCGTCAAAGTTATAACCAAAATTTTGCGGTATTTACCTTCTTCCAGGGGACCTATTTTCAAACCGTGTGAGTACTCATTTCTCTCAAGATTTCAGGAGAAATGTCATATGTCAACGTGGAAACTGTATTTTGAAAACCAGTGACTACCTCATGACTACTCACTGACCTTTTCTCTCGGTTTATTTCGAGAGAATTCATATTCTCAGGAGAATTTGACCACGTGATTAGGGGCGTGGGTACCCTTCCTCCATGTGTGTACCCATAACCGATGTGTGTACAAGGCCAAGTCACATACTACCTTTCTCTCGATAGAGCACTCCTTTCTCTCAATAGAGCACTCCTTTCTCTCGAGTTTGAAAATAACCCCCTAGAGATGTTTTTGATTATTGGTTATAGGGAATTGACAGTTACAACTGGAGTGAGTGTTTTGTAACGACTAGTACTGTACAAATTAGGTATACTAAACCCGATTTTGGGCCTTTTTTAAACATTAAAATCATATTTAAAAATGGTAAAAGATTATTTGATGAGTAAAAATTGCAAAGAGAAAGACTTCAGAGACTAATTTCGATTTGGGATCTTATTATTTCTTGTAAGACAATAAATAATATATTTTAAATAAAAATCTATATCGCTTATTCATAAACACGGCGAAAAAGATAGGTTAAATTGAATTGACATTTGAAAATAAACAATCTGTGACGTCAGTATACTAACCCCTTCAATAAATTCACGCAATACCCAAGAAATTTTGTGGTAAATACCAAAAAAATTTGGTAGTTCGCTTAAAATTGCTTTATATTTACGTATAATTCAAAAAAAGTTATACACAAAATTGTACTACCCAAATTTCACCATTTAACAAATCTTTTAATTAAAACATGCGAGACTTATTTAGAAATAAATACAACAGTACATTTTGTGTTTTTGGCAATAAAAAAGTTTATTTTTATTATTTTGACAAAATTATGTAAAATTCCCATAAGAAGCCATGTATTTTGAACAGCGGGACTAGCACTAGCGCCTTGCGGTGAATTAAAAAAGCTCATTTAGCCTTCGTTTTTTGGACCGTATTTCGAGTATGCCGATTCGCCTCCTTATCTCTACTCTTCATAACTGGGGTTTTACTATTTCAACTCAATAACTGTATATAGTCAATACATCTAATTTATTCAGTCGTTTTTGACTGTCATGGTTTTGTATTTCTAGTGGTTGCCGCTTCTTAGAGACGGTCGTCTAATATCGGGAGAATTTTGCCTGCCGATAATGTTAGAACCGCCTCCTCGAAACTACAGTTACATCCCTCCAGATGTATGTTTGCCGGGTACCAAATGGTTAGATAATCACAAGGGATTGTTTACTGTTACATTGGATACAGCTTCTTCCGTGCATACACATGATCCACCTATAGAACGGTTTTTTGCCGCTTACGATTTTGTTCACACTGGAATTATACCACAAAGACTGGGAGAAGTTGGATCTGAAAACGAATTAAGGTATATTATAATTGTAAATACATGCATATGTAATGAGAGTGCAAAATACCTTATAAATATGAGGACTGTTCTGTTTCCTTTGAGTCTAGTAGAGTAAAATTTATTTATAATTTTTTCGAAGTATTTTCTCCAGTCAATGCATTCGGAAAAACCATTCTTGAAAATATTTTTTCCAATCTTCTGGCTGTAGTTTGTTTATACCATTTTTAAAGTCATCAACCGCTTCTTTGGCCAATGTAAAACGTAAACCCCGTAATTTATCCTGTACCCGCGTAAATAAGAAGTTATTAGGTGCTAGGTCTGGACTGTACGGTGAATAACCCATTATTTCGTTAATCTGGTATCGAAAAGTGTCTAAAAAGTATATTTTAATAATAAACAATATTTACAAAGTTTTATCCACAGGATTCAGTATCAGAACCAATTCAATGTGATAGTTAATATTGGAACCAAAGGACATCTTATAATTTTTGATAGTTTGATTTTATTTTGAAACTATAAAATCAGTGTGCAGCATACTCCTAACGTGCCTTTAATTTTCAGATCTGCCATGTTGGGATTGGCAGGCGCTCAGCCAGAAACTATTGTTCGATATTTGCCAATAATGTTTGACAATATAATAGAACTGTTGGTACAACCTCCACGACTGTCGGGACACACTCTCAACGTAGGGCATACATGTTTCGAGGCCATGTCTGCTTTGCTAGACAAAATTTCAGTAAGTTAGATAGTTTGTATCAAAATTATATTTCCAATCATATAAAACACACTAAATAGCTGATTCGCAGTTATGCTTGCTTCTGAAGCCTGATTGTATTCTTGTAATAAGTTTATTATGTTCTAAAAAATTAACAATTTGTTTATAAATGACCTCAAGAATTTTTTTGATACAACTTAACAACTTAAATCAGTAGCTTTTTTGTATTTTTTTTATTTTATGAAAAAAAGTTTTTTAAAATATTAAGGTTATTGTCATCTGTGCTACTTTTATTTTTCACTGCAAACAGGAACGTCTTTTAAAGAAGTTGAAACTTCCCAAGAAAATGTCCATTGCGTCTGTCTAAAATTTGATAATGTGGTATTGTATGATCAGTCATTAGCAATCAATTGGATACTGTCTATGTAAAATTTATTAATAGCATTTGGAATACAAAAAATATTTTTTATAATCACATTTTCTAGTTCAAGTTCGATTAAATCATTTGACTTATTTTTAGGGAACAGGAATTTAGGAGATTTCCACATTTCATTGGAATTTCCCCTACTTTCGTAAATGTTTTTCTCTATGTGTTTATATTTTTCTGTTCATTGTGTAATTAGAACAGAAAAATATAAACACAGAGAAAAATCGTGTATTAGTGTATAACGACCCTATTTCTATGTATTTTATATTCATTCCAATCATTTTCTGTTTTTACTTTTTTATTCCACCACTTATTGTATCTTGAAAATATTTTTATTTGTTTTTGGCGCTACAGAATCTAATACATTTAAAATGTGTTACAAAATTATCATATTTTACATTAATGTCATAAATAGTTCCATGCTAATGTTGAAATTTTTTTATTTAATAAATCAAAATTTGTCCTTACCTCTGCTTTTAATTTCTTAAGCAGATAGGTCATCACTATTTAATAGCACATTCGTAAAAAGCATAAATTGATCTGAAATTTTTGGTGTTTTGATAACCGCAACTGAGACTGAATCGTTATTCGTTATAACTAAATCTATTAGTGTACCTCCACCATTTCTATTTGGTCTTGTGTATTCCGCTACAATATTTTTACTCCAATATCGACTTAAATATCTTTAATTTCGAGCTGTATGTGTTTTTAGTTAACAAGTCAATAATAAAATCTCCAGAAACAACTATTTGAGAATTATCACATACATTTTCTTCAGCTCAAGTGTTAAAACAATCTAAAAAAAATATACAACTACTGCTAGGTATACAATGATACAATTAAAAATTTTCATTCCCTATTTTTACTATCACAGAGACAATCCAACAAATTTTTGGAATACAAAATTTAAAATATTTTAAAACTTTCAGTTTACTTTGTACATAAATGAAAGCACCCCTTGTATGCCTACTTTCAATGTCAATGGCATGAACGATGATTTCTTATTATAAATGTGCACTTATATGATCATGACGTCACAAACGGTATTTTCATTGAATGAGTATTATCTTTTTTTTTATTTATTCATGTATTTATGGTATTTGTGAGTATTATGTGGTTATGTTCATCATAGCAGTATTTTTATAATACTCTTAATGCTTGAAACCATTATTTTCTCACATTCAAGTTTCTGGGGCCCTATCCTCGGCAATCGTTTTCTAAACAACGTATACGCTTTAGTAACATGCGAGCTATTCGCTATTCTCGACATTCGTTTTAAAAGCGTGTACGTTTTTAAAACGGGTGTTTTACAGCGAGCGGAATTTTTCACACGTTTGTGATAAAACGTGCATGTTTTCAAGGATTTAATCAATGTCACTTATATGTCACTTTTAGGATGATTAATAATATTGATTTTAACAAATTTTACGTTTTATTAATACTTACAAAAGTATCCAATTTCTTATAAATATGGTTTGCAGTACTAAAAAAGTCTAATAGCTGAGAATTTATTTCAATTAATACAATAATTAGTACAATTAGAAAACTTGGAAGATAAGAATGCTAAAAGCAGAGATTTACCTAACTTGAAGCCACTTCAAATCGTACACTTCTTTGAGAAAATAGGATTGGAAGGGTCGTTATAGGCATTGAGACATTGCCTTAGTGCATTGGCGACAGAAGGGTGCACAATAGATCTTTTAGGTCGCAGTGTATTAACACCCCATTCTCAACATAACATAAAGATTCAGACATGCAGAGGCAGAATCCAATTTTTTAATTTAATGGATATTGAATATTTTTTATATTTTACCGTGTAAGAATTTAATTATTGTATGTTTTATTTATAGATAATAATTTGCTTGCGGTTTCTTGCAAGTGGTAGTTCAAAGCTCTTCTATATCACACGTTGTGTCCAGAAATTTTAACAATTTTGTAAAATTGCCACAAGATATTAAAGAACTGAATGAAATTAGCAAAGTTTTTAAGTTAATTTTGTATCATAAAAACTAGGTTTTATGACGTACGATTTTCCTAGAATTATAGGTTACATTGACAGCACCCGTATAGCTGTTTTTCCGCCAATGATTAACGATTCAGTTTATCCTGAACATTGATATATTATGTGATTAGAAAAAATCATCATTCGATAAATTTACAATTGTTTGTTGTAATTAAATTACATAATCCTTATTTTTTGATGGCCTGCACATTACTTGAATTCAGCGATATAGACAGTTTACAGTGATGCCAGATATATTATTTGCTTGTTAAAAACGTACACGTTTTAAAAAACGAATGCTTATCGAACGCCAGTCAAGAATATAGATTTCAAAAACTACTCGTTTTTCAACCACTCACTTTCGAAAACGGTTCGTTTTTTTAGCGATTGTCGAGGATAGTCTCTTTTTGCTGTATTACTATTTATACTATTTAATAGTTATAATCCAATAACCAATTACAATCGCTACAGTTAGTCAGGCACAGCCAATCATAAGTGATACAGTTTTAGTAATTGGCGTGAATCCTTTACGACTGTCGTCAATTACTAGGCACTGTTGTCACGTATCAAACTAGAAACGTAACGTTTTAAAGTTTAAAAATACCAATAAAATAATTTTTTTATCCAAATCGGGTATAATTTAAACACATGAATAATGTAAATATCTAAAAATATCTAAAATAATATAAAATGAGACTATACATTTATATAGAACGTCCAAGAACTACCAGTTGACCAACATGGTAGAAATCAACTATTAGCCACATACGTTCAATTCCAATGCAACATGCCTCATCCACTATACAATCACAACTCTCCGGATTATGAAAACGCTTCACTAATGACGCGCAGCTCGTCGAATCCCGATTTAGAAGTCGCTCACGTTCAGTATTCTAGAGGGTTAGACAGAGCCGCAAGCATGCGTGTACAAACCAATGAACTGTTGAGTCCTAATGCGTCTACGTGTCAAAGGATCGTCCATCAGGAGTTGGCTCTACAATGGGTAGTATCCAGCGGCAGATCGAAGGATTTGGCCATGCAGAATGCTTGGTTCTTGTTTGAGCTCGTCATTAAAAGTAAGAAAATTATGGTTTTTAATAAGGTATTGTAGAATTTCTAAAATAAAACGTTCTGTAGGCATGGTCGAACATTTAGCACACACAAGATCCCTGGATGCACCTAGAAAAATAAGATTCTCTGAACAATTCTTGGACGACATTTCCACACTAGTCCATACGGTCACCGCCGAAATAATATCCCATTCTACCGGCGAAACGCGCAAAGCTCACAAGCTTAACGCCGCTTTGGCGTTCTTTTTCTTTGATTTGCTTTCAATAGCCGATAGAGGATGGGTTTTCCACCTGCTCAGGTCCTACAACAAGCAACTGCAAGCCAAGATCGCTTCCATACAGGATTCAGTTCTAGTAGAGTTGAAATTGGAGTTCGCTCGGATCATTTGCAGCCATGAACACTATGTTGCGTTGAATCTACCGTTCGCTTCGCCATTTATGTCTACCGATACCAACGTATCGCCGTCACCGAGCGTTACCAGCTCCACCAGTCAGAATTCGTTCTTGTCTGGTGCGCCTCCGAGTCAGGAAAGGGCCAGTACTTTTGCTGAACTGTCGTTCGAGTATAGGCAACATCATTTCTTGTGCGGTATTGTCTTGGCTGATTTGGCGACCGTTCTTCTAGAGATGCAGTAAGTATAACATTAAGTCATTGATAGAGCGTTGTCAAAAATTAACTGTATGGAAAAATGATTCTGGGAAGCAGCTATTTTTAATATACGAGGGTTGTTTCCTCAGCTCCGCCCCTGATCAATTTATATTAGGTTTGTTCCTGCAAAAAGTAAACGATTTGTTACCATAAGTTTCTGACTTTCATTTCGGATTCGTGGTGCAATTAAATTTCTGATTTATTGATCGAACTGTTTCCGAATAAATCTCAATCTAACCCATCTATTTCTATTTTAGATTTGCCGCATTTTGTGTATTAAATTTCTACGAAAAAAAAAAAAAAATGGACTTAAAATAAAAAACAACTTAATCTCTATTTCAGCACCTCGGAGATAAGTTGTGTTAAGTCACCAAATTTGCATTTGTCATGAGAAAGTTCACTTATTGTTTTGACAAAAAATGGAAAGAAACGGTGAATTTACTAAATATTGGGGGTCTTTGCAAAAGTAAATTGTCTGGTCAGTTTATTTCGATTTTTTGTTAGATTTTTACTTTGTCCTAAAATTTTGACGTTGATGTGACTTATTATTAACCCCAAATTTGCAATACATGGTTTGCGACTTACTTGGTGTTCTGTCATCTTTTTGCAAAATAATGCAACTAGGTAGTTAAATCTGTTTTCCACTAGATAGAATTGGGTATGGTAAATCCACAAGTGGAGAAAATTCTAACTCCAAAAAATGCGACTTAACACACCTTACTCCTGAGGTGCTGATATTCCGAAATAAATTGTGCATGCACTGGATTCTAAATTAGTCTACTAAGCATTCCAAACAAAATGGCTGCTTTTTGGCCTGATGGATTTGACAGGGTCAATGATATAAATAGTTATAGAGATTATTCATCCATATGTTTTTTAAAATAAACATAAGCTCATGCTCAGAGATAAGGGAGATAAAGATAGGAAACGATCATAATATGGTGGAGGTGCCGGGCATATGTTAAGAGTGAGATTATGGGCCTTTCTGACTGACCCTTAAGTCCACTCTTAACGGTAACCACGAGTTGTATAGAGGGGCCCAATTTGTATTTAATTTAATCTCTAGACAACACACGGCTAGGGGGTTAAGTTCAGAAGGTACCCTACCTTCCTGACGGGGAAAGGGTTTACCCTACAGGAACTATTCCCTTTGGCAGTATCTCTCTCTCTCTCTCAGAGATCGGATTAAGCCAATACCCCGCCTTTGAATGATCGTAAGTTTTCCTAAACCAAAGAAAATTGAAACAAGCTTAAAACAAATAACTGTGGTTTATTTAACAAATCAAAACAACTAATATTGCTTCCGCAATCTCGTATTCTTTACTGACTACACAATAACTAAATATAACTACTTAAAACTATTTACTTACATAAGCATTGTATTCTATCTGTTGGGCTGCAAGGCTGGCGAAAGCACACGTTACTTTTATCACTATGGTTCTACAAAAAAAACTAATCGCGACCCGTGACTCTACTTTCGGACACAAAAAAAGGAATATACTAAATTCGAATAATTTCGACCGCTCGTCAACGAAGACCAAAAGGAACTCCCCGAATATGCACTTGTAATGTTTCAAGAGTGCTCTTGTTGATCTTTTTTTGACCCTATACTTTAATATTATGATTTAATAAAACCTTGTCCAACTACACATTTTATTATTTTACTGAATATTTGTTTAGCGCGCCTACCCTTGGACAAAACTTTACAAATCATAACATACCTATTCACAGGGTGTTATATTAATTCGTAACAATACGATGTACGATTGCATCAGTGAGATCGTACCTAAAAATATGATCTTCACGTTTTATTTGCAACAACTTCAGAACATAAAACAATAAAAATCAAAAACTACTTGCAAAGATTCATAGGCCGTTCGTAATTTCTGAAGGCAGTCAATTTCGTTCTCATTTATCGTGATTTTGACCATGGTGATTTTGTACCAACACAAACTATCACAGCATAAGAAAAGCTTGCATACAAAATTTCAATCACTTTCAAGTGACAGTCATTGATTACTTTATGTGTTAATTTAAAGTTTCATGTATTTTCTTTAGTTTTTTTTTTCGTTGTAAACATTTTTATATATAGATAAATAAATTATCATGTCAAAGTTTTTTATTTTTTCATTCCATTTAAGCTATATTATGCTATACATGTACCTATTGTACGATTTTTATTGTCGAAATACCATTTTCCTACTCATCTCTTAAAAAAACTGCAAACGACGTATTTTTGAAAGAGTAAAACCAAATTTGGTAGATTTTCACACTTTTATATATTTTTAGTTAACATCTGAGACGCATAGATGACGCCATCGTTGCTGCGACCGTTGCGTTTCCTATCTTTATGTACCTAATATCTGCTCATGCCTTGAGGTAAAATGTAGGTAATAATTGTTTTACTATATTCAAGGCTGAAATTTGGTTTTAAAACACATTTTTGCTAAACTGATTCTGTTTAATGAGCACTTGCGAGACAATATGGCTGCTTGTAATGCGGCCCGCTTTGAGCAATCTATATAACTATGTATATCATTGACTGTATCAAAGCCAACAGGCAGCTATTTTGACAATTCTTTGGAATTCCTAACTCTAAGAAAATTTTTCTTAGTGTCTCCAAATCAGGATCAGAGATGTGTGTGCATGCGTGCAGTTTGTTGGAACGCCTAAATTATGAATGCACACTCTTGACGATGACGGACTATCTGCTCTAGGAACAAACCTAATAAAACATTTCCTGTGCAAACCAATAATTTATGGCTAATATAACATCAGTGCCACTTGAAAATTGTCTTCCACGTAAATGTTCTTTCAGTTTCGGGAATTACTAGAGGCAAAATCTGGCGGATAGAGTTGATGTTCTAACAATTTCTATTAATTTCTGAAATAAAAAAATTAGAATTGCCCATTAGAAATAAGTAATAAATTTATACCTATATTTTTAGTCAGTCGTCTTTGCACAGCAAAACAGTAGACACTTTAAAACAACTTCTGTCTTGGCACGATTCTGATCCGCGATACAGCTCTCCCGAAGCAAGACAAAGAGTAGCGGCATTATATTTGCCATTGCTATCCATAGCGATGGACGTTTTGCCTCTTCTACACCATTTTAAAATGGATAAGACCCAGTACGCCAACGAGGATATCGCTCCCAGTAATATCAACCAAACCGTCGCCATGGCTATCGCCGGGAAATTGCCTCCCAGCACTGTCGACAACTTCCACACGGTAAGTTAGATTTTAAGAGCAAACCGGAGTCTGGCCAAAGCAAAAATGTGAGGATTTTCTAATATAAAATACTTCGCAATGTTATTTGTCTCGAGAATATTAAGACCTTTTAATTTGTGTAACGATAAATCTGAATTTATAAATTTCGTTCAGTTGGTTCAGTTTACGTTGAGTTCGAGTTCAATATAAACCAAGCAGAAAGTAACTTCAGACGTTAACGTTCGCGCTCAGTTCGCGTTCATTTGACGTTTAGAGATGCCCAACCTTTATATTCGACGTTCGGCCGCTAATGTCGAGCCAATGAACAACACGTATCTGGTTATTTGACCACGCGTTCCTAGAATGACTGATAGGTTTGTTTTGGATACGAAATTACAATGGATTTATAATTATTTTATAATCTACTACAAATCCCCAAAACGAAATCTAATTTATTTTGTGGATTTTGTGGTTATGTCTTGTCCAATTAAATGTCAGGATCAACCCAAATTCGCAGCGATGAACGAAACGCCTTTATAAATTGGGTCTAGCGCGAATTCACCAACGCGAGCATAGCATGAACTGAACATCAACTGAACGAAGTTTATAAATACAGCTTAAGGCAGCACTCTACAGAGACATTTAAGATAAAAGATGGGAGACCCTCCCATTTAAAAACTACTAAATATTAAAACAAAAAGAGGCAAATTTTCATAGATTTAATACAGAATGGTGCATAAATGTTTTTTTTATTCCTCTTAAAAATTATCAAAATAAATACTTTTTAAAATTTTACAAAAAATCAAAGTTTCTCCATCCTAAGTTTTGTTATTATTGGTATTTCCTGAAAATTTCACAAAATCGGACTAAAAATAAAGTCTCGGAAGGAATTAGAAATTTTCAAGGTGTTCGGTTTGTTGTTAAGATAAACATTTGACCCATAGCTGAGTTTATCTTTAGTTGCAGAGCAGGAAGCTGGGTTTATCGCCAGATGTCACTCGTAACATTCTTACTTGCGTCTTATGGGTACTGAAAAATGTCGAAAGAGATTCTCTATCGCAGTGGTTGGGAGAGTTATCCTCCTCACGTCTGGCGACGCTGTTACATCTTCTAGACTCTTGTACTAGTTGCTTCGAGTACAGACCGAGGAGGAGAGCACCGCCGCCGTCTGGCTACGCCCACGCGCAAACTACTCAAGACATGCGATCTAGATTGGAGGACGTCATTTTGGGCCAGGGTTCCGCTAGAGAGATGATGCAACGGAGAAAAGGTACTACTAAAGGTTCCATCTCGGGTTGCTAAAAATGTCATTTTGATTAAAATTTTGATGTGTGTTAAGGCGGAGCTACCCAGGCGCAAGAAAAGGTCCGTTGGCGTAAAGAACAACTGTACAGACCGGTCTCCGATCACGTTGATAGACCTAGAGACGAATTCTCGAACGACGTCCATTTGGAAGGCCATCTAGCCACCGAAGCTTCGTTTATCATACTGGATACTCTCGAAAGATGCGTTGCTACTATTTCCCAGTGGGATTCTCAGCAACATTTGGTCGGATTGGCGTTGTCTGTGCTGTTGCACGCACTGGGAAAGAACCAAAGCACTACGGTGTTGCCGCATATGTTCGCGTCACAAAGAAGTCTGGTATTTAAGGTAAAAATCCGTATTTTTTTAGTCTTTTCACTCCCACAATGATCCATATACGTTTTCTTTTTAATTTCAGTTTCATAGTGCCTTATTTGATGAAGAAAGTTCTCACTGCGCTGACCTATGTTTGTTATTGTTAAAACACTGCGGTTCTCAGATAGCTTCAGTCAGATCTCAAGCCGCAGCTTCACTGTATCTACTGATGAGACAAACTTTCCAGATCGGTAACGTAAGTCCTTTTCCTCCAAAATCAAAATAACTGTTTATATTATTAACTCAATTTCCAGAACTTTGCTAGAGTAAAAATGCAAGTAACGATGTCCCTCAGCAGCCTTGTCGGTACCTCAGCTTCATTCAGCGATGACTCGTTACGTCGTTCATTGAAAACCATCCTCGAATACGGAGAAAGAGACAGCGAACTGCAGGAGACGACGTTCCCGGAACAAGTCAGAGATCTCGTCTTTAATCTGCACATGATCCTCTCCGATACGGTCAAAATGAAAGAATTTCAAGAAGATCCGGAGATGTTGCTAGATCTGATGTACAGGATCGCTAAAGGGTATCAGAACTCACCCGATCTGAGACTGACATGGTTGGCTAATATGGCACAAAAGCATATGGAACGTGGGAACCACACGGAAGCTGGGATGTGTTTGGTTCATTCAGCAGCTTTAGTGGCTGAATATCTGGCTATGTTGGAGTCTCTACCATATTTACCTGCTGGAGCCTCAGCTCTGGAAAGGGTCAGTCCTAACGTTCTGGAAGAAAGCGCGGTTTCCGATGATGTGTTAAGTCCTGAAAAAGAGGGTGGGTGTCTAGGATCTCATTTTACGGAAGCTGGGTTGTTGGGTTTGCTGGAACAAGCAGCTAGTAGCTTCAATGTTGCCGCTATGTATGAGCCCATGAACGATATTTATAGGGTGTTGATTCCTATCGCTGAGAATAATAAAGATTTTAAGAAATTGGCCAACATTCACGGGTAAGGATAATGCTTATAAATTATTGAATATTTTGTGACATATTTTGAGTCACTCCTTTCTATTTTAAAAAAAAATTTCATGGTCCTTATTGTGTTGTTTTATGCATAATATAGGTTGTAGCCTTCTTAATTTTGTTCATTGTTCAATTTCTGCATGATAATTAAATTTGTTTAGGAAACTTCACGAAGCTTATACGAGAATCGATCAATTGTCAGGGAAAAGAATGTTTGGCACGTACTTCAGAGTCGGTTTTTATGGATCAAAATTCGGAGATTTGGACAGGGAGGAATTCATTTACAAAGAGCCAACTCTTACGAAACTGCCGGAGATTTTCAGCAGATTAGAAGTGAGCTTTCTATGGTCTTTTAATTAAAAACAATAATAATATATTTTTGTAGAATTTTTACACTGAAAGATTCGGCGCTGAGAATGTCATTATAATAAAGGATTCAAATATAGTCGACATCAGCTCTTTGGATTGTGAAAAGGCATATATCCAAATCACTTACGTTGAACCATATTTTGAACAGTACGAACTCCGTTATAGACAAACGCACTTCGATAGAAACTTTAATATGAGTAAGTCATTGAAATATGTCATTCTAATTAGTTGTATCTTAAAAAGACATGATCTACCAACAATTATTTTTCTTATTTTAGAAAGATTTGTATACGCAACTCCATTTACTATGACAGGTAAGGCACATGGAGAACTGAAAGAACAATACAAGAGAAAAACTATACTGACGACTGCTGTACATTTTCCTTACGTGAAAACTAGAATCCAAGTGTTATCTCGATCACAAATTACCCTCACACCCATCGAGGTAATTAGTTTAGTTTCGTATTTTCACCACATTCGTTCTGATCTCAAAATTAAATTCGTTTTTAAAGGTGGCAATCGAGGATATTCATAAAAAGACCTTAGAACTTGCTATCGCTACCAATCAGGAACCGCCAGATCCGAAGATACTTCAGATGGTACTGCAAGGCTGTATTGGAACGACTGTGAACCAAGGTCCTTTGGAAATGGCTACAACGTTTTTACCCACCGACGGGAAGGCTCTCACCAAGCATCAGAACAAGTTGCGGTTGTGTTTCAAAGATTTCTCCAAAAAGTAAGTCGAGGATCTGGTTTTAAAAATTACTCTAATAATTTATTTTAGGTGCCATGATGCATTGAAAAAGAACAAAAACCTGATAGGGCCGGACCAAAGAGACTACCAAAGAGAATTGGACAGAAATTATAAGAGATTCATCGATAAGTTACAGCCTTTGGTTAACCCGCAGTCTATAACTATAATTAACTCCAGCCCACATAAATATCCTCATGCAGATAATTCTCCGTTGAGATGGTGATTATTTTCAAACAAGACTGTCGTATAAAACCATATCGAATTGTTTGTCGTTTTTGACAGCTTTTTTAGCTTTAAACAGTATTTTATTGTCCAAAAATGTTCCAGTTTACGAAAAAACTGTACTAGTTATAGTATATAGTGCAAAGCAACATGCTGGATATTGAATCAAACAGTAAGCTTAGAATGTTGATTCTTTTAAAAAGTTGGGCGCTAAATCTTGTGAGCGTTAAAATTTTCTATTGCATTACTGAGAAAAAGCGATTCTTGTTTATTTTCTAATAATAGCTTTAATTTATTTTTCCTAACAGTATATATACAGGAAAATATCTAAAAGTAAATAATTTTTTTTATAACAAATATGTATCACCTTTAAGTTATATAATATGAAGTTGAATCGAATATTAATTACCGATGATAGATAGCAATAATACATTTAAATACCGCACAATTTAATTAAAGTCAATTTTGAAAATGCCTTCATTAGATTGTATGAAATGTAAGCCATTTTTGTAATAGTTATGAATATAAAAATGTAAAAATGAATTAACAACTAGATAATTGTTAGTTTAAAAATATATTTTCTTCAAAATTATTGGATTGGAATGCATACTTGGATTTTAGGACAAAAAGTCCAAAACAATACTTAATTTGTTAATCTCCATAAAAGATTGAGGCACATAGTTTAAGATTTTGCTTTATTATTTGTTATTCAAATATATGTTGTACAACTGTAACTTTTCATTACAAAAGACCCCGCAGTTTCCTTGTGGTAAATGACTTTCGGTCAAATCTGCTAAATTTTTTATATGATGCAGTTTTTGACCTCCTGATTAATGGGCAAAAAGTTCTCCTATAACTAATTTTCGAGATACAGGGTGTTAAACTGGTGAATTCTCATAATTTTCTAAAATAATTTAAGACATAAACGTTATAATTTTGTTGACATTTATGAATATTAAGTTATATTTTGGCTCTCTAATAGGTTTGCCACCTTTTTAAAAAGTGAATAAAGGTAAGGTTTACGAAAGGGAAAAGCGGTACAACGGTGACGACAGGGGATCCATTTAAAGTATTTTTGGCAAAAAAAGGTCTCATCAGCTTATATTTTAATAAACCCCTGTTCCTTCTACCGAGCTTCTAAAAAAGTCCTTTTAAAGGACATGTGCCGTAAAAAGCTTTAAAAAGTCACAAGGACAATTTGTATTAATAATAAATTTATTATTTACATATATAAGAGTGTAAATGACACTATTATAATAAAAAATATATGTATACAGGGTGAGCCAAAAAGTTCGTTCAGTGAGTGGCGCTATTTTACAATATATCCTGTATATCGTAATGGGTTCCAAACAAGAACAACATCACAATAACAAAAATATATACTTTGGACACCACATACACTGAGAGTAAAAAATTATTTATTTACAAAACTCCCTGTAGAGAGAGAATTGACTGGCTAAATCAAGTATGATTTTGATTTATTAAAACAAGTTTTTCACGAGTTAATCCATGTTCCTGACTAGATTTTTTTTTTTTTTGTAAATGTACAATTTTTTTATTACTGTCTTCTGCCGATTTTAATTTAAATTAACTTAAATATTAATTACATGTAACAATTATTAGGTATGAGTGTGTTAGATTATTATTTTAAAAACATTTTTACGTATTTTAATACGTACCTTAGATAGTTTTTAAATTGTTACTAATAGTTATAACAAAATAAATCTCTTATAACACTTTTTTGTTATCAATTTCATAAAACTTTTGTTAATTGAAATAATGTAAATGATAATGTTTTCGTCATTTCACATCACCATTAAGGTTTTTCATCCAGAATTGATGATAAGTGGCATTTTTAAAACACTTATTTTTTTAATATTCACGCCACGAAATAAGACGTTCGTTGTGAGTTTCCATGTATATTGGAATTAAAACAGATCAGTATATTATATTACGTGGACTTATGAACAAAATTTTTGTACTTTTTGTACCTTTTTTGCATTACAGAATGTCTAACAATAATCAGTTAATTTGACAGTCATAGGAGCATGGATTAACTTGTGAAAAAAAACTTTTTGAGATTGTTGTTTTAATATATCTAAATCATACTCTACAGAAAGTTTTGTAAAAAATGACAATTTTTGTAAGTTTTTTAACTTAATATAACTTTTTAGTCTCCCTGTATATGATGCTCAAAAAAAATATATTTTTTATGTAATGTACTTGTTTGGGACACCCTACGATATACAGGGTCCTATATTGTAAAATAGCGACACTCACTTAATCAACTTTTTGGCTCATCCAGTATAAATGTATTTTTCATAATAATAATAAAGTGCCGTTTATACACATATATAAATATTACATTTATTATCACTATTTTAGGTGTAAAACGATTTTTTAAACGTGCAATTTTTCTGCTTTAATTTAAAAAATTGCTCGCTCTTTACAGTTGTTTTCCAAAATAATTAGTATTGTATTTTGGTAATCACAAATATCTAAGAGAGCCAAAGTTTTTTTTATATTATGAGAATTTACAAGTTCAACACCCTGTATCTATAAAATTAGTGATATCAGAACTTTGTGCCCGTGGACACTTTTAATTAGAATTTCAAAAACCGCAACATATAAAATTCACGAGATTCGATTGAAAGCCATTTGCCATAAGGGAACTGCGAGGTCCTTTATAGCAAACATTTCTCGTATTTGTATTCATCATAATACAACCTAGTATTAAGATTAGTCATTTTTTTTTCATATATTGTCATAATATTATTTATTTGTTTACATTATGCTTATATTTTTTTATTTTTATATAGCTGAAAATAAAATATTAAATATTTTTACCGTCTTATCACCATAAATTCGTTTAAATCATTTTCACCTTAAGAAACCCCCCTTCGCTCCATTTACTTTACTTTATGGATAGTCTATCGAAATTTATTAGGGCTCGGAATTTTTCAGATTTTTGTATTTGAATATTCGTTTGAAACTTTATTCGAATGCCCAAATTATTCACTATTCGAATATTTCTAAGTATTCGAATATTCGACTATTTGCATATTCGTTCGTTCGAGTAATCGAATATTCGAGTAGGTATACGAGTATTCGAGTATTTGATTATTTGGTTAACGTATAATTCATACCTGTTTGTTTTGGTATGATGCTTAGTTCTTAATTGTTTCCACAAATTACTGGTATTACTTCTGTGTACGACATTGTAAATACATAATTTACACTACACACGATTTTCTTTTTTAACGAAGTAAAGTCAAATCTTACTGCGTTCTGAACTCATATTTAACACCTTTAGCGGGCAAGCGTTGACAGACATACACACACTAATATGAATAAAATACCTAGTAAGTTATAACTTAACAAACATAAACATGCGTGTGAAAAGTGCGAATGTGAAACAACGTTGGGGTTCCCCTCATTTACCAAATAAAACGCCAGCGCTACAAGGAAATAAATAAATACAAAGTTGCCGTAACGTAATAGTCCCGAATCCCAAGTCAGAATTTTGTTTTTCTTCTACCTTTATTTTTAAGCAATAGATAAAAAAGAAACATTTAAATTATGTATATAAATAAATTCAAAATATATATCCGAATATTTGAACATTTACAGTATTCCGATATTTAAGTACTCGAATAGTCAAATATTCGAGTATCGAATACCTAGTTCAATTAGTTTAATATTCGATTGTTGAGTATTTGAATATTCAACTATTCGAATATTCAACTATTCGAATACTCGACTATTCGATCAATCGACTATTCGAATAATGTCGATCTAAAAATATCGAATTTTGAGTATTCGAATTATCGAATTAACCGAATACAATTCCGAGCCCTAAAATTTATAGACGTGTATTTAGTGCCTCTATAGAATAGTCTTATCTCTCTTTAGCATTAAAAAACTGATGCTGAATATCTAAAGATATGTAAGTCTGCAGATCGTTTTATTTTACCTATTACCTACTGGAACAAGCAGAAGACAAAACACACTCAATGAAAAATCGCATTTTATTTTTGACACTAGCCCCAATGAGTATAAGGTAAATTTTGGTCTTGATTATGACATAGTACCTATCTACTCAAATAATTTTTAATTTCGAAAACGATTTCTCCACAGAACCAGTAGTCACAGAAATGATTAAAAATAATAAAAAAGAAATATACATATTTTTAAAATTAAAGGTGGCCGCGTGATGATCATGAGTCAAAAGATCAAATTGCAAATCATTAATGTATTGTTCAGAAAAAGATTAAGCACTTTTGCTAAGTTCGTTATCACATCACTTAACTCGATAAGAAATTTTGGGAAAAGACAGTTAAACTTGGAATTGTAGGACATAAAGGTGCTAATTTGTGTAATTCTAAAGGCGCCTAAATCTTGCTGACGCCGGGTAGCAGTTACTACCACATGTCCTTGTAGCCTACACCACTGATTATAATACAAGTTCTTAAAAATTGATTCTATTTTCCATGTGATAAAGATTTTAAAAAAATGCGTTTTTCTCCATTAAAGTGGAGAAAAACGCACTTAATGACCTAATGGCTTTTATCAGCATACGGACGATATGACAGTGTTGCCAAATTGGGATTTTTCTCAAAGAATTTTTTTTGTTATAGAAGGCCCTAAGATAGAAATTAATTTACTAAGTGGTGCATATTCAGATTAATAATAACTTTTTTCATCTATAGGCCAGCAAGCATGTGAAACAATATATTTTAAACTTCGTGGTAAGATATAGTACTGAATGAATCGAAATTAGCCGATTTTGCAACTCGATACAGGGTCGGCAACATTGTAAAAAATGACAAAAATCGGAATTAATGGATTGCTGGACGGTCAAAAATATGACATAGCTGCAAATTTGATATCATTTTCATTTCAATATTTAAGACTAAATTTGCAGCCTTTTATGACGCCGGCTAAGTAATTAATTGCTCTTAATTAACATTATTTGATCTCTTTTAGTAATCAAAATATTAACATGCTTACAAAATCACAATATACTAGCTAATATCGCTTTAAATGCCTGTGAAAATTTGCCATTTTTTCCGATGATGGCACGATGCATTTTTTATAATTTACAAGGATTTTCTTTTTTAATCTACCTAAAAATGATTCGGCAAAATTATAACATGTGCAAATTTTAGTTGCTAATGATGGCATTCGTAAGTTAGGCAGGCTAATCATTTTGCAACAGCACATGACGTCGGCAAACAGACGAAACTAACAATAATTAAAATTTCCAAATTATTTATTAATGCTAGTTTTGTCTGTTTGCCGACGCCGTGGGCTGTTGTAAAATGAATAGCATGCCTAACTTATGTATACGGCCATTAGCAATCAATATTTGCACATGTTACAATTTTGTCGAACCATTTTTAAATAAAAAAGATAATCCTGTAAATTATAAAACACAATTTCCAATGATCGTAAGCAGGGGGAATATTTTCTCATACTTCTCATTGAAAAATATTCCACCGCTTATGTCGAGAATATGAAAACAGAATTCCCATGTGAAAATTTTATTTTCCCATGGGAATAAAGTCAAGAATTGAGTCCCAGGTGGGGAATGACATTTAAATATAATTTTGTTTGTTTAGTGCATAATTATTAATAAAATGGAAAAATAAATGGTATACATTTAAAAAGCCAGTGATCAATATTTGAAAAATGATCAATCACAACAATGCCAATAATGTCATGTCCTTAACTTCTTCCCAATTTTTATACAACAAACGCTTAGTTACTAATAATAAAAAACTAGTTAATATGTTGTAAATTTCTTTATTCACTTCTTAAGCATACATAAATAAAAAAGTAAATTATCTAAATATTAATAACTCTGGACAATTTCTGAACTCTATTAAGTAACAAATCGCCTTGTTTGACAACAGAGTTAAACTGAGCATTCTTCAAGTCTGGCCTGTTTGTCTCCACAATACCTCCGACTCTATCGATTTTGCAATGCAACCGCCCAGCAGCTATGAAGGTAGACAGTTCTTCATCAATATATTCCATGGTGACACCAAAAGCCTCAGCCATGTATTGCAAAGTAAGAGATCTGTATGATTCTAAGAGTTGAGTGTAGGCTGATATTTTCATTTCTCTGACATAGTAGCGGTAATGTGGATTCAAGAAATAATCTTTTCTCAATATACTCTCAACTTCAGCGAGATTTGTGAAAAATTCAGCATACTGGCAGTTATATAAAGAAAATAAGTAATCTTTAACAAATGGTTCAGAATGTAGCACTTCTAGAATTTCAGACCCTTTCACCACTTTATCTCTAAGTTGATTCCTTGGTAGGCTTATTATTGAAGTATAAACGGTATATCTGACAAAAGCTTTGTAATCCATAAGCTCATATGAGGTAAAAGTACTGACAGTGTCCAAGAATAAGTTGGCAGCAGTTTTAAAATCTCGCACTGACATGCAGTAAGCACCTTGATATACTTTCAAACGATTTCTTCTATCCCAATCTCCACCCTCTTCTATTAAAGTCTTTGCTTTATCGATATTTCTTGTTATAAGGTCGTGATCCATAAAGAACAAACCAATTCTAATGAGATGAAAGATGATATCTAAGCGATGCCCGAGAGACACAGTTTTATCATAAGTTTGTCTAAATGTAATTACAGCGTTGTCTTTATCTCCAATTCTACTATAATATTCGGATTTCCTCAAGTAGGCTTCCCTTACTTCCATTTCTCCCAAATTCTTTTCAGCATCTTCGATAGCTTCATCCAAAAGCTTGATCTTTTCGTCATTTTTAGCTTTCAGGGTCTTCAACAAAGCCGCATCTAATTTCCATCCAGCATCTTTACAAATCAATTCGTACCATGGGGCCATATCATCTTTCTTGATTGCTTCGGTGATTTTCGAATGTACACTTCTGTCATTCCTGTATTCCGGTAAGCTCAAGAGAAACTTACAATGGGCAAGCCCTAAGTCTGGATTTTTCTCCAGTCCTTGATCTTCCAAATTTTCAATCGGCATTTTTACATACGAACTTTTCTTTCTTTAATATGAAAATGACACAACAAAATTATTTTGCTTAGAGAACGTCAAATGCCAGTTGTCATCTGTCGCGATGGCTGGATGACGAGCGTTTTTTAGGGTATGGTCCGTTAGTTAAATTTAGAGAGTTTTAGCAAACATCCGCTAACGTTACCTTTGCTGCGTTTGAGAATCCACATCGGATGCATTTTTTACATCTCGAGCGTTTTTTTATCCACATCGGACACATCTGTCCCATTACATTTACGTATACTGAATCACGTGATCAAAGATTTTTTACATCTCAGATGCATCCGATGTGGATTCTCAAACGCAGCACTAAGGACCGATTCCACCCATAGAAAAATAAACCACCAGGCGAGTTCGGTCAGTCAGGGGCTGGAGCGGGACAAATTTTAGGGTGCTTTTAAATGACATTTAAGCGTGTTAAACTGTCACTAATCGGACTAAACCTAACGCTAAAAGGGTCGTTTGGAGTTAAAAGTGTTAAAGGAGACCGAACGCAATGACCGTTGTGTTAAACGAAGTTTAAAATGACATTTTCACATAAACAATGTCATTTTAATCTCCGTTTAACACAACGGTGGAATCGCTCCTTAGGGATATACCTTAGATAATCTTACTTACTCTGAGGGATATACTGTAATCTACCCCGTTAAATGTTTATGAAAAATGTCAGAATCTAGTTTAACGTAACGTTAGCGGAAATCTTACGTACATTTGCTAAGGACCGATTCCACCACAAAGCACATAGAGGTTCCACGTGAATGACCAAGGTCAAAACCGACAATTGACATTTTTTATGCTATTTGCTCCAAACTCTAGATGGGGCTACTGGTAAAATTCTGATTTCTTACTCCATTTTTAAGCTTTATGGGAGAAAAACAACCAAAGACTCCAAAGATGTGACGTGTATTTATTTATGTTTTTGGTTAATCTCATTTTTCCGTCTGATTTTAGTGATTTTTTGTTGGCTTTGGCTTTTGGTTTCTGTTTATAGTTTCGTCTTAGTTATAACCTACTGTGTTTTGCAATAATTTTGGTGCTACCTGTGGGTGCTACGTTGAAAACTTCGATAAAAACTTCATTGATTCACTATGCATCTGCATCATAAAAAGAAACGGGTATAACAACTAATTGATAATCAATTTATCACTGGACTAGATTCCGAAATCATTTTTCACATAAGAGAGTAATACACAAAGCAGTGGAGTAATACCACCATCTGTATTTGGAAGGAAAATACCTATTTATCATTGAATGAATAGTTAAAAGGATTCACCTTTTAATACAATACCTATATTACATTTGTCCTCGGTTTAAAAGACATTTATAAAATATATTATTTTAGTGTTAATAAAATGTAATATCCTAGTCTCTACTTTACATTTAAATTATTGATAGGTATTTTAAAGATTTGAGATTGATTATATACCTATTTGCTGCAAGTAAGTATTCGTTAAATTTTAAGTTATTAATAAACATATTTTAAGAATGTTCTATTTTATTGTTTATTGATATATCTTATATTTATTTAATAATAATATGCAGAACCAACTCTTCACATCAGACCCCTGCTTATAACAAATTAATTCCTCAAATTTGGTATAATCGACCTAAATTATTTTGTAAAATAAAAGTTTCGAACTTACTAGTTCCATTCTTTATTTTATAAAATAATTTATGTGGAAATCATTTAAAATTTAATTTAAAACTACTACCTACTCCTAAAAATTACAATTTGAATTTACCGCCATCTGTCAATTGTCATTTTAGTTCCAGCTCCAAACACAAGGTGGCGCCAATTTGGTTTAAAACATTGATCTGGCAACCTAGGGATACGACATGCGTAAGCGAAAAGTGGGACCGGTCCGCCATTACTGTGAGTGCAAATTGTCAAATTTTATAGGTTATATTTTTAGTGTCATTTGTATAATTAAATTTGAATTTAATTTGTGTTTGAGCAAATTTTGAGTGTTACAAACTTATAAAGTATATAATGCCTTGCTGTGTTATACGTTCCTGCTCTAGCGATAGACGTTTTTGTGAAAAATCGACTGGAATAACGTTTCATAGATTAGTATCAAAATTATAAATATTATACAGGACAGTATTATGACAGGTTTGTATAAAATGTGTAAAAGTATGCTTTTAAAAATGCAAAAAAAATCATCTATCAACTTTTGGGCCTACCTATATTGGAATAATACTTTTTCATACGAAATAATATTTATAGATTTCCAAAAAATCCTATAAAACGTAGCGCGTGGATACAGTTTGTCAACAAGTATAATTGATAACCTTCTAAATTCAGCAGTATATGTTTCAAGCATTTTCTTGAGAAGTACATTAATCGTACGCCATTTAATTTATAGGCATTTTATATTCTTATTTCTATTTAAATATAACCTACATTTGCTGGCCTGCCACCAATTTTATTTATTAGTTCTACAGCTGATTGAAAAGTAGAACTTCATGTTTTGTGTATGCATGAGTATTGTTTGTTTTATTATAGTTAATTTAAAACAATATTAATATACCTTTTTAATTACCTATAATTTGTTTCAGATTAGTGCGTTTAAAGGAATTGGTGAAAATGAAGCGATTCGCCAACTTTGGGGATGTGCCAGAAAAGTGACATCAAAGTTATTCAACGGTTCCAGAATAAAGCATTAAGGAACATCGTCAATGCACCCTGGTACTGCCACAATACTGACCTTCATAGGGACCTTAAAGTGGAGACTGTTGAGAATACAATACAAAAATTTGTAGTCACCAACAACAACTGTTCCAGCATGGAAACCTCGAGATTATCCAGCTCCTCAACAATGCCAAATCTAATAAGAAGACTCAAGAGACCAAGCCTTTTGAGTTAGTTCAGTGATGTTAAAGCATAGTATAGTGCAGTTAAGTGATTTAGACTCTAAGGTATACTAGATAGTAGAATATCAATTTGTGAAGTTTTTCATCCCTTGATAAGTTAGAATAAAATTTCTAATTGATTTTAATGATTAGATTGTAATAATCGTAAATGTTTCTTTACTTAGGGCATTTATTAAAAAAAATGTTGCAAGACGCACTATACAAACTTAAATATCACATTTTCAAAACTTTTGGTTTTTTATCAACAATAATTATAAACGTCAGTTGGTTACTCAGTACTACACTTGTCAACTACGTTTCCTTTTTATGATAAATTTAAATTAATAATATGCCAAAATAGTGTACCTTTAATGATTTTGTCATGAATATTCGCGAGCTGCTTGTATGGAGTATCAGTGACAATTTCCATACCGACAAGTTCCAAGGCACCAAACATTCAGTGCTGTGTTTCGACATATTCCAACACATGGCATACTGTGTTAATATATTTTTTGATATTTAAACTCTTGTAGCTTGGTAACCATGTAGAATTGGATATTTGTTCATAGGACATTTTATGCTTGAAATGAATTCAGGAATATGATATTTAAGTTTGTATAGTGCATATTATGAACATACTGTATATAAGTTCTTATAATAATAAATATTTAACATCAATACTCACTTAGTTTTTTTTTTGAGACTAGCAACAAAACCATAACCGTTTGTCTAGTATTAAAAATAAATATCACTCATATATATGGATAAGAAAATATTAAAACTTTATTCCTTGTACACTTTTATTTAATCACAGTACACATTATTTGCATTTACAATATTTGCTTGTCGTTCATATGCCCCAGTCTGTTTTGTTCACCTTTTCTAGTGGCTTTTTCTGCTAAACTTTAGTCCCTATTCTTCCTTCACGTAGGTAATGAATTATTCGACCATTTAGTCAACAAAGGGGTTTTACTTGTTTTACAGTAATATACTTATCTTTAATGTTCAAGTTTTAGAATTTGAACTTGGATTAGGCCATTTTCGACAATTTTGTTCTTAGAGCTTTTGGAAAAACACTTGGGAAGTACTCTTACAAATTTATTTCTTATTTTGCCTAGCGAAGAAATTGTGTATAAGGAAATATTCTGGTTTTTACCTCAGTGATCAAGAAAAGCGCTTACAGTGGATACTTTCCCTAACTCGATAAACTTTTATTACCTAGATGTTGGCCTCCCTTTATCACCAGCCTACAATTTCAACTCTTTTGCTGTTAACTTTAACTTCATCTGTGACTTTAACTATGATTGAGACTTCAACTTTATCTTCACATTCTTTGTCTGACTTTCAATCATACATGCATGATTATTGTGCACAGACCAATTAAATTGGACCGGCATGCTTGTGGTGCATGTTGTGTGTTACTACGGTAGGCCTTTACATAAGTAGCCATAATCTCTGCAGATGGTAAGAAGCCCAGCTCAAACCAACTACCATAATATCGTCGTTGGATCTATAGGTCTCAAGTAAGATCTCTTCATATTTTACATTTGTTAGAAGTGCACCTGCACATCGCTGGTTGTGGCTTCGCTGATTTACTGAATGTCTTGCATGAAGATATACACCTTTCAGTCTGAATCTACAAAAGGACCAAGACCAAGTAAGATTAATCCACATTTTGATTTCCTGAATAGTGCACCTACCTACACAGAGATTGCTTATTAGCCATTTTCCGCGAGCCTTGCATTAAGTTTCGTATCTGATTATCGAGCTTTTAGTGTATGAACATTTGTTCTTAATTTCGAGAAAGCTGTTAATTAAAGTAAGGTTAGATTACTTAACATTTGCGACCTTGTACTTTCCGATTTAAAGACAGAAAGCATTGGGCTCATAGAAAAACGAAAAACTAAAGATTGGGCTAATTATGTGCCCTAGTGCAAACTTGTGACGACTGATCCAATAAATTGAACTCTGTTTACTTTTGTCGCTTATGTGAATCAAAAATGTACTATTTATTTTTTCTGTGAATGATTTCAACGCTTTAGGGTTAATTTCACCATTGTGTTAAAGTTTAAACCATTAATTGAAGATTAAAATTACATTTTATATAAAAATGTCATTTTAAACTTCGTTAAACCCAATGGTGGAATCAGCCCCAAGTTAGTTATATCATGGTCATTGATTAGTTGCAATTTTGCAAATAATATATTCTCCAGCGCTTAATAGCCACTTGAGTGATAATTAAATCAGTTATATTTTATTTCTCTCATTTACTTTATTCAGCA